GCGGTCAACTACATGGGAGTCCAGCAACATAGCCATTATGCTAACTGCTGGTCCCTATTTCATTTTTATTTATCATTATTATTGTTATCTTTGCTACAGGGCTCACCAGACAGAGACAGACAGAAAGAGAGCAGGAAAGTGAGGAAGCAAGCTGCCAAGTCTGGGAACCAAACTATGGTTGGCCATGTGGGAGTCCAGTACCTCAACCCTATGCCACCTACTTGCCCTGGTACAGCCACTTTACAAGATAGTTTAGCAGTTTATTTTTCTTTTTCCTTCAGAGATTATTTATTTATTTTCTGAAAGAGAGAGTTAGAGAGAGAGAGAGAGACCTTTGACCCTTGACAGGCAGACTGCAGTCCTTCCCCTACCTGCAGCTGGCCTGGATCACGGGTGCAACTATGCTTGGTGTGTTGAAGCAAACATGGGATGTGAACCTACAGCCTTCTCTAACGTCATGCAGAAGCTCCTCTATAGTCTGTGTCACTGTAGTTTGGCTGGTTTGGCAGTTTCTTATAAAACTAACTGTACTCTTGCTGGGCCTGCAGGTGGCGTGGTGGTTGGGGCAGTAGATTCCCATATGGCTTGCATCCTGGACTTGGTGGCTTCTATCTCACTTTCCTTCTCTCTCTGTCTCTCTTTGGTCAAATTTGAAAATAAGTAAATAAATAAAATTAAATATATAATTATTAAAAAAACTAAATATACTCTTAAAAGACAAGTACTGAATTATTCCACTTATATGAGATATCTAAAGTAGGCAAATTCATAGGAATAAGAAGCAGAATGATGGTTACTCAGGGCTAGGAAGAGGAGAAGGAGAGTTAATGTTGAATGGGTATAAAGTTTCAGATTTTCAAGATCATAAAGTTCTATTTCACCACAATATGAATATACTTAGATATATGATTATTTAACATCTAAATTGATGGGGTCAGCAGGTGGTGTGGTGGTTGAGGCACTGGACTTCCCCATGGCAGACCATGGTTTGAGTCCGAAACCTGGCGGCTTACGTTCTCACTCTGTCTTTCTGGTGAGCACATGTACCTTATTGCCGTGGCCTGGGAAGCAAAGGTACCTGGAACCCCTAGTGAAAGCAGATGGCAGACTGAGAAAGAACAGACAGACTGACAAGTAGAAAAAGCTGAGATCCAGTGGACTGGGAGTCTCCGGTGGAGAATGCTGTGGCCTTGAGCCGTTCCAAGGTTTATTCTTTTATATAGAAATGGAATGGAGAAGCCAGGTCGCGGCTGTGAAACATCTTGTGTCCTGTGGTTCTTGTGGCTTGTAGTTCTAAATATGTTTCCCTGGCCTTCTCTGGCTGACACTCACCTCCCTTAATTTACACTGCCCTGCTGTGTAACAGTAGATTATGTCTTTGTTAGAGCTTTTGCTTGCCCTGCAGCGTAAGCACAAAGATCGCTAATGCCTTATCCACATCTGGCTGCTCCCTATAACTTATAATGAGATAAAAAGTAATAATAATGATGAATAATTTGTGGTCACTATTATTATCATTATTTTTATTGTTTTTATTTGACCAGAGAGAGAAAAAGGGAAAGTGAGAAAGCAAGCCTCCAGGTCCAGGACTTGAACTGCAGTTGACCATGTGGGAGTCCAGCATCTTATAAAGACTTCTTAAAATTTTTTTCATTGGTGAAGAAATTTTATCTCTGGGATGGGGAGTGAGGAGGAAGTACCCCCACCCTGATAGGGCATGATCATTCTGTAATCCTTTTCCTTCCATTTTTCCATTTTGGGCACAAATGCACATGTGCCCAGCATTTTTTTCAAGCCACCAGGCTAGGATTTAACTGTTGTCAGTCACGTAGGATCCAGCTTTCCATTCACAATACTTAACCACTGTGCTATGGGATTGCCCTGAAGTTGATAAGTTTTATATATTTTTACTACATATACACACATGTAAAAAACCCTAATCTAAACATACTCTTAACATCCGCTCTAGCAATTGCTTTCTTAAGTATTTACTCAGGTGAATTAGAAACTTAGATCCATGCAAAAACCTGTACATTGGTATTTATATTTATGCTTTATTCATTATTGCCAAAACTTGGAAGCAACCAAAATATTCTTTAGTAGGTGAATGGGCAAATAAACTGTGGCACATCATACAGTGAAATATGATTTAGTGCTAATAAGGAATGAGCTTTCAAGCTATGGAAAAAAAGAAAAGAAGCTTAATTGCATGCTACTAAGTGAAAGAAGTCGGTCTGAAAGGCTACACACTGTGCAATTCCAAGTATTCAACATTCTGGAAAAAGGCACAACTAGGGAGGCAGTGAAAAGCCTAGTGGCTGCCAGGGGTGAGCGGGTAGGGAGGAATGAGTAGACAGCGCAGAGCATTTTTATAGCAGTGAAATCATTCTGTATGAAGCTGTAATGGTGGATATAATGGTGGATACGTGTCATTATACATTCGTCAAAACCCACAGAATTTACAATACCAAGAGATCCTTAAGATAAACTGTGAACTTTGAGTGATAATGTAGGTGCATCATTTGTAGCAGCTATACCACTCTGTGCAGGATATTGATAGCAGAAGAGGCTGTGCTTACTGGGGGCCAGGAATATATGGGAATGCCCTGTACTTTCCTCTCAATTTTTCTGTAAACTTAAAACTTCTCTAAAAAGAGGACCAGCAGGTGGCATGAGGGTTAAGGCAGCTGGATCCTACGTGGCCGACAGTGCAGTTTGAGTCCTGGACCTGGGCGACTGAAAATCATGCTGGGTGCATGTGCATGCATGCCCAAAATCCCAAGAGGAGACTAGAAGAGAAGGGATTGCAGCATGACCATTACCCCTGGCATGGGAGGGGGATGATTTCTCACTTTCCCTCTCCCTCCCTCTCTATCTGTCTCTCTTTCATAAGCACATATGCCCTATAGCAAAAAGAGAAAAAGAAAAGGAAAAAAAAATCTCTAAAAAATAAAATCTATTTTATTACTATTCTTTTAGAGAGATTTTGATGTAGGGTACATGCACTCACCAGCGAGATAGAGAGAGACAGAAAGTGAGAAATCACCTCCCAGAGGGGATGGACACACTGCAACCCCATTCTCCTCCATTTTCCTCTCAGCATTTTGGACACTCACGCACACTCACCCAGCATGAGTTTCAAGCCACCGGGTCTGGGGCTCTAACCATGGTCGACTATGTGGGAGTCCAGCAATGTAACCCTTATGCCATCTGCTAGTTAGAAAGATCACTTTGGACTTAAAAAGAAACACTACAGGTGACTTTTATTCTAAAATACTACATATAAATAATCAAGATAAAGCATGTAGTTTCTTTCATATGCTTGCTTCCTTTCTTATTCTATTTTTTGATTTGCAGATTCAGAATGTTCTTCATGATTTTTTTCAAAATCCAGAATTTGAGCTTGGTAAGTATGCCTATTACTATAATATTTTTATTCTTATTTCTTTTTGGGGAGAGTAGTTACTGTATTTAGATGAAGAGTCAATATTGGGACAGATGTTATCCAAAGCTCTTACAGATGTAATTAAGCTCTTCTGCTCTTTCCAGATGAAGAAAAACAGGGACACAATCAGTGATTCTCAGTCCTTTCAGTCCAGCACTCCATTTTATTATAAATATTCTTTAATACCCCTTTATTAACCTATGCTATTTCTAGAAAATATAACTTATGTATATAAAATTTAAAAAGAAAGACATAATGTCATAACTGTGATAAAAAGAAATACAAAGAAAGACATGAGAATTTTATGTACTGGGACCAGCAGATGGCATAGCAGTTACATTGCTGGATGCCCACATGGCCAACTGCAGTTCAAGTCCTGGACCTGGTGGCTTTAAACGCACAAAGGGCATGTGTACATGTGTGTTTATGTTTTGAAATAAGAGTAAATGATTAGCTTTGGACTTATACATAGACTCCCCATGACTAGGAAATCTATGAATCCAGACTGTCACAGGTGTGTGTATAAGAGTTTGGATACAATTTGTATTACCTCCTATTACATAATTTTCAGAAATGGTGAACCATTCCTGGTAAAGTGCCAGAATCAAACAAAATACGATCCTGCCTCAAATTTTTACAGTAATTACATTCTTGGAAAATGTAATAGCAAAATTAGACTCTGTGTTTATAGGTAAAATAAATTTAAGCTCTAGACCCAAAATTATTAAAAGCAGATTTTTCAGCTACTTGAATGCCTGGCAGGAGAGAGAGAGTCTTCATTGTGCAGGAATTGCAGGAGTTCTGCCTCTACTCCTACTCCCCATCATTATGGCAACAAAAACTTGCCCTTAAATTTCCACTCTGCTCACCGAGGGGAAGGAGGACAGTACCATCTCTAAGGAGAACAACAGAGATATTTTTTAAAGTTTATTTTTGTCATGATAAAGAACATATGCACACACGAGAGAGAAAGAGAGAGAGAAAGAATGAGAAAGAGAGAGCCAGGCACCGTTGCTGGAATCTGTTACTCCACATCTCCTCCTCCTGGTTTTCCAGCTTGTTAGGATCTTGGGCACCTGTGCCAGGCACATTTCAGGTCAGCTGGGAATCTGGAGTTGGCCTTCTGGCTTCCCACACTGCAGTTTAGCATGCCACCAGCTGTGCCACCAGTGCTGGGCCAGGAACCACAGAGTTTGATGCTTTTGTTTTCAGAAAGATTTCCCAATGTGAGATTAGGCCAACAACAACAAAAATCTGACTTGTTGCGTAAAGAACGAGAGTTTGGGCCCTGAGATGTACATAATTTATATCTAGTTGACTCTTTAAATTTTTTTTTTTTTTGGAGAGGTTTTTTGCTATAGGGCGCGTGCGCTCGCCAGACAGAGAGAGAGAGACAGAGACAGAAAGTGAGAAATCACCCCCCAGGGGGGATGGTCATGCCGCAATCCCTTCTCCTCCATTATCCTCTCGGGATCTTGGGCACGCACGCACACGCGTCCAGCGTGAGTTTCAAGCCACCGGGTCCGGGACGCGAACCGCAGTCGACTACGTGGGAGTGCAGCGACATAGCCATTACGCTAACTGCTGGTTCCCGACTCTTTAAATTTTTTTAACCACTTGTGCTACATTGATAACAGTAGATTGAGTTTTCTTCACACTTAAAAATAAAGTATGCTTCTCATTTTTTTAATCACATGATTTGAGCTTTGCCGAACTTCCCTCCTTCTCCCTGTTCTTAGCCTATTGAAAATCTGTAAGCCTTCCTTCAGCTCAACTCCCACTCCTGTTACAGAAAATTTCTCAAATAACTTTATTTATTTATGGGGGTACACACGAAGGTGTAAGAAAACTCTGAGATCCTAATAAAATGAGAAATTCCAGACCATTCCTGC